CCTAGTTGAAAAAGAGCTCAGAAGAGTCCATCCAAAGTTTTGATTGTGGCGAGAATCTCCTGGTCACTCACTAAGAAACCTTTGCCAACCCTCAAGACAGAAAGCCATTTTCCCATGTTTTCCTTTAACAGTTTGTCCATGATCCTTCTTGAATTTTTTTGAGACAATCATTTAAGTATTGGACAGGGCAAGGTCATTTAAAAAGGGGAAACCTGGGGCGCCTGGGTGGTTCAGTCATTAAGCGTCTGTCTTCGGCTCAGGTCATGATTCCAGGTCCTGGGATCGAGCCCCGCATCGGGCTCCCTGCTCGGCGGGAAGCCTGCTTCTCCTTCCTCACTCCCCCTGCTTGTGTTCCCTCTCTCGCTGTGTCTCTCTCTGTCAAATAAAAAAAAAGGGGGGAAACCTATCTGTAGAAATGTGTGTAGCTTGGTGTCACAGGCATCAATACTCACAACTCTAGTCCAGGTCATGTACAACCAGGAAGAGGTGGTCATGCACAACCAGGAAGAGGTGGTCATGCCAATCAAAATACTTAAGAAACAATGAGGGAGTTACAGAGCAATGATAGTCTCTGATTCACTGATCTGCATGTTCTGCAGTTGGGCCATTAGCCCAGAGCATCTGGCTGGTTCCCTGGTTACTAAGAAATGAGTCTCCCGGTATTCTAAAGAGCCTTAAATAGTGCACACTTCAGGATGTCACTGAAATCATAGTCTCCTGCAGGCTTAACCGTAGTTATCTGCTGTGTAACGAAAGCTTCTGTAATGAGACCACCTTGTGTTCACTGTCACAATACGTACTTTAAATGGTGGCCTTTTAATTACTAGGGTGAGAAGGTGGAGGGGGCTAGGCGTGATGAAAGCAACTTCAAATATTGTCCGGCATGTGTCTGTCAAAACAGAGACACCATAAAAAGGGCAAGAAACTGAAGACATTTGACCAAATATGTGTATTGGTAGAATTATGTTTACTGGGTCGCTGACAACTGCCATCCTTTTTTTTTAATTAATTAATTTATTATTTGAGAGAGAGAAAGTGCTAGGGAGGGACAGAGGGAGAGAATCTCCAGCAGATTCCCCACTGAGCATGGAGCTCAATGCCGGGCTTGATCTCAAGACCCTGAGATCATGACCTGAGCCGAAATCAAGAGTGAGATGCTTGGGGCGCCTGGGTGGCTCAGTTGGTTAAAGCGACTGCCTTCGGCTCAGGTCATGATCCTGGAGTCCCGGGATCGAGTCCTACATCGGGCTCCCTGCTCGGCGGGGAGTCTGCTTCTCCCTCTGACCCTCCTCCCTCTCATGCTCTCTGTCTCTCATTCTCTCTCTCTCAAATAAATAAATAAAAATCTTAAAAAAAAAAAAAAGAGTGAGATGCTTAATTTAACTCACTGAGCCACCCGGGTGTCCCAGACAACTGCCATCCTATATGGAGCACCCGGTGTCTGTCTAGCACATAGTAGTCATCCTGTATTTTGGCTACTATGGACAAATGAGTGAATGAATACAAGAATGCCAGAAAACTCTTTCCCGGCCACTGTAAAGAGAGAGCAAACATGCCAAAGTGCTCGCTCCTCAGAAATTTCAACCCAAGAGGTAGGCCACATGTATATACATTTGAAAATTCATATATAGGGCGCCTGGGTGGCTCAGTTGGTTAAGCGACTGCCTTCGGCTCAGGTCATGATCCCAGGGTCCTGGGATCGAGTCCCGCTTCGGGCTCCCTGCTCTGCGGGGAGCCTGCTTCTCCCTCTCCCACTCCCCCGCTTGTGTTCCCTCTCTCGCTGTGTCTCTCTCTGTCAAATAAATAAATAAAAAATCTTTAAAAACAAATGAAAATTCATATATAGATACTTCTCATAGAGCAACAAGTTTCTATGGATCATTATGTACTTATCCCCACTCCCTCTCCAAACTCTTAAAGTGTATAACTCTTAAAGGACAAAGAGAAGACTGGACAGGGAACAGAAGAACCATGCCAAACAGTTTTCAAAGATGGAAAGGAGGGGTGGGGGTGACTTTAGCACAGCAGAGGAAGCTGAAACCCAAGTGCTAGCTGAGCCCAGTGGTCCCCAATCTTGGGCTCACATTAATGCCACCTGGGAGAGAAACAAATCGGAAGGCCTAGGTTCCACTGGGCATCAGTAGTTTAAAAATCTCTCTAGGTGTTTCAGCTCAGGTCATGATCTCCAGGGTCCTGGAATCAAGCCCCGTGTCGGGCTCACTGCTCAGCACGTGCTTGAGGATTTCTCTCCCTCTCCCCCTCCCCCCCCTAAATAAATAAATAAATAAATCTTTTAAAAAAAATCTCTCTGGGTATATGGCAGTCGTCAAAAACTTAAACATGGAGTTACCATATGATTCAACAATTCTACTTCTGGGTATATACCCCAAAGAATTTAAAGTAGACACAAACAGTTATGTGTGTATCTGTCTTCCTAGCAGCATTATTCAGAATAGCCAAAAGGTGGAAGCAACCCAAGAGTCCATCAGTGAATGGATAAACAAAATGGGATATATCCATACAACGGAACATTATTCAGCCTTAACAAGGAAGGAAATTCTGACATGCTTCCCCACTGGGGAACTTGGAAAACTTTATGCTAAGTAAAATAAGCCAGACATAAAAACCAGATATCGTAGGATTCCACTTACATGAGGTACCTAGAGTAGTCAAATTCATAGAAAGTGGAATGGTGGTTTTCAACAATGAGAGCTGTGGAGAGGGACACAGAAGAGAACTGATTAATGTGTGAGGAAACCTGGGAAAGTGGACTTCCTGAGAAGAAAATTTGGAATCACCAGGAAGGGCTGAGGAGTGGAGCAAATAGGGAATTTGGGTGAAAGTCTGTATATGGAACGGCTAAGATCCTTAATCTCTATCTCCAGTCCCACAGGTGAAAGATTTGTTGGAGAAACTGGATCTGTGAGGCCCCTCCAATTCCAACTGGGTGGCCAAGGGCTTTCAGAATAGCAGTGGGGATTAAACAAAAGTCTGCATGTTGAAAAGTGGGGTCACCAATACCCTTCCTCCTTCTTCTCCTGCTCCCGATGCCAGCATCGAGGAGATATCCCAGGCACTTCAGAAACAACAATTATTTTAAAGAAACAAGAGAAAAAATGGTATCCATAAAACTAGAACAGGCTGTAATGACAAAAAAAGCAATTGGGGCACATGAGAAAACTGAAATCCAAAAGCCAACAAAAAAGTGGAAAGACGGGGCACCTGGGTGGCTCAGTTGGTTGGGTGTCTGCCTTTGGCTTGGCTCATGGTCCCAGGGTCCTGAGATCGAGCCCTGCATCGGGCTCCTTGCTCAGTGGGGAGTCTGCTTCTCCCCGCCCCCCAAATAAATAAAATCTTTAAAAATAATAATTTAAAAAAACGAAGAAAAAAAAAAAAACTACTAAGAGGAAAGTGCCCCTAACCTTTCAGAGAGGGAATTGCACAGTGTCAGAAATAATAAACTCTTCAGATCAGGCAGACATGTCCCTTCAAATTGTAGGAAAGCCTCCGTTAGAAGTTAGTCTAGAAAAGGTGGGTAGGTATTTTTAAAAGATGTCTCTTCCTTGAGCCACAAACAAGTGTCTCCCCGTGATCGCTGTGTGTGAACATGTTGACTTCCAGCAGACACAAAACTCCCTGAGGACAGGGGCCCTATTTCATGTTTTCGTTCACAGCTGTCTTGCATGTACTATACTAAGCTCTCTCAAAAGAACCTCTTTGTTGTATGAACCTCTTTGTCTGTACTCTCATACATCAGATTGCTAAACTTGTGTTCATAGCTCTCACACCTAATTATTTTATTTTATTTCTTTATTAAAGAGATTTATTTGAGAGAGCACAAGCAGGGACGAGGGGCAGAGGGAGAGGGAGAAGCAGACTCCTGGCTGAGTAGGGAGCCCGAGGTGGAACTCGATCCCAGGACTCCAGGATCATGACCTGAGCCGAAGGCACAGGCTTAATGGACTGAGCCACCTGGGCACCCCTCTCATACCTAATTTTAGATTTAGAATTTCCTTAGGGACTTTGATTTAATTGAAGCCCAACGGGGTCCTCCAGGGGTCTCAGCTAAGTGTCATTGGAATGTAGGGGAAACTAGTGGTGTTTCAGTACAAGAATGAGTTGAGTTCCTTGTCTACTCTATTAACTCTGGCTGGGAGTTGAGAGGTACAGTGCATTTCCTTGCTTCCATGTAATGGAAGTAAAAAAGGGAGGAGGAAGGGGGCACCCGGATTTGAACCAGGGACCTCTTGATCTGCAGTCAAATGCTCTACCCCTGAGCTATACCCCCATGCCCTAGTATCCTTCTCTTCCTTGTCCACTGAAGGTGACTCAGTACCATCAGGTTCCACCCACACTGGAGCTCTGGCGAGCTTTGTGTTCTAAAGCTCCACCTTCTTTTGTATCCATCATCTGCTTTGCCTTTTCTCTTGGCCACCAATAAACCGGGTGGGGACACGTGAAAAATGACATCCTGGAAACTAGCTGAAAAGGAAACTGACAGAGCACCAGCGGAGAAAATGTCCACAAGCACTGTGTCAGAATTACCATGGTAGAATCCAGAGGCTAAAAAGCAACCCTAGATATCCCCTTGTTCACTGCCCTGACTCTTGATGGACTGAGGGTGGAAAGGAGAAGGAAGATGTCAGTTAGTCTGGCTGGGATGACTCTCAGGAAAATCAGGAAATCCTTCTCAGGGCAACCAAGGACAATCTCTTTGGACAAACCGCCTGCTCCTTTCTTGATGGGCAAACAGCCAGCTTCCAGCCTGGGGCACTGCTGCTCCCTGAGCTTTGTGGAGGCTGAGGTGCGCAGCGTCGTTCCTTCTTCTGACATGGGCCCGGGAGAACGGAGGCCTCCTTTCAAGCCTGGCACTCGTGGGCATGGAGTGTAGGGGAGCAGGTCTGAGGACGCCCTCTCTCCTCCCACCTCCTCTCCAAAGGCTAGAGAAGCTGAGGGTGGAGACACTAGCCCCCCCCCCCCCCAGGAAAGAAACAGCACACTTGGAAACACAAATAACATCACTGTTTATATAAAAATAGCATTAAGAATTCATCTAAACATCTGTCTTCTATTCAGGTCAAGGGGTGGGAAGGGAAGAGATGCTGTTAGAAGAGAGGGAATTGGGTGACCTCTCCAAAGACAGACGGGCGCTGGCGGAGGGCTGGGGTGTTCCGGCGATAGCCAAACCGACCATTGAACCCCTTGATTGTTTTCAGTTCAGCATTGTAGTGATCATGCCCGGTCACCTGCTGGAGGGAATGCCCTTGGGGGCAGAGAGAGAGGCCTGAGCCCCCATTCAGCCCCCTCTTGCTTTGCCCCTGCTCCCACGGGGCTGGTATAGAATGTGCTCCCCATGTCCCAGCTGAACCCTCCATCCTCAAACGTCTCAAGCCTCTTGATTAAAAGCCAAGGGTTGATGAAGTCCAGGAGACAGACAGCTTTCTAGAAACCAACCCGCACACCAGGAGTAGTACACAGGAAGAGCGTGAATGCTGTGTGCTAAGATAGGAGGGGACAGAAACTTTTGGGCTTGGCTGAACTCGCCTTGCTGCCAGGAAGACTGCAAATATTTCACCCTTGCTTCTGACCCATGTGGAGAAAATGGATGAGCTCAATTTGGCCAAATGGTGCAAAGGGTCATGTGACTAGGGTGTGACCAAAGGGCGCTGGGGTTGGGGTGGGAGGAGGGTTCACACTGTCGGAAAAACCTCTCAACCCTTCCTTTCCTGTTGCTCAGTTGGGCCTGGAAAAGGAGCAGGACACAGCCTGTTCAGGGAGCAGGGAGGGGAACATGGGGTTTCGAGTTGGAAGGAGTGGAATTCCGATCCCAGCTACCCTCCTCAGCCAGTCACCTCACCTCCCTACACTTGTTTGCCCCGCTGGAGCGCGGGGAGAGCATGAGCGTAAAACCCACCTGACCTACGGCAGGTGCTTAGTCCCTAAACAGAAGGAGCATGGTGACACCATCAGCTCACGTCTGAGAAGAAAAGGTGGGGACACAGTCCCAAGGCCTCTCCCCCACCCCCCCCAAACCAGGGCTCTCTGTGGCCTGATTTCTCTCTCTGAACTGGGGACCTCACACCACTCTTCCAGGGGGATCCATGTCGAGGCTGAAAAGCCAGGTGGCACTTGCCTGCCCCTGCCCAGTTTCTCCTGTTCAGGTATCTCTGTCCTTCCCCAAAAATGTGGAAATAATCCACTATCCAGCCGTCTCTTCCTGTGCCACCGTGATCCTGAGGGTGAGGGAGAAAACACAAGACTGTCAGCCACCATGCTGAGAGGGGCACACGCAAAACTCCCTTTGGGCTTGTTGCAGGGGGAGAGCGCCGAGGTCCCAGCCAGGGGTCGCCAGGCCAGACAGATTAAATATGAATACACGTAGTGACCTATTGCCTCTCAGGGAGAGGCAGCCTAGGTGCGCAGTTAAAGGCTCAGGGTCTGCTGCCAGACAGACTGGTTACTATCCCAGCTCTGCCACTAACAAGCTGTGTGACCCTGGGCCAATGACACGGCTTCTCTGGACCTCAATTTCCTCCTCAGTAAAAGGAGGGTTGCTGTCAGATTGAAGTGAGATAATTCAAATAAAGGGCCTGGCATAGTAAAGGTTCCTTTTTTTTTTTTTTTTAAGATTTTATTTATTTGAGAGAGGGAGAAAATGAGCAGGGGGAGGGGGAGCAGGGGGAGAAGCAGACTCCCTGCTGAGCAGGGCGCCCCAGGTGGGGCTGGATCCCAGGACCCCAGGATCGTGACCTGAAGGCAGACGCTTAACCGACTGAGCAATCCAGGTGCCCCTAATTTACTTTAAAAATAAGCAATATCATGGGGCTCCTGGCTGGCTCAGTCCGCAGAGCATGCCACTCTTGATCTTGGGGTTCTGAGCTCAAGCACCACGTTGGCAGCAGAGTTTACTTAAAAACAAAACAAAAACCCCATTATCTTTATGTAAATAATAAATGTAAAAATGACAGTTGTGATGATTAAACCCTTATAAAATGGAACATAGGGGCACCTGGGTGGCTCAGTCATTAAGCGTCTGTCTTCGGCTCAGGTCATGATTCCAGGTCCTGGGATCGAGTCCCACCCACATTGGGCTTCCTCCTGGGCGGGAGGCCTGCTTCTCCCTCTCCCACTCCCCCTGCTTGTGTTCCTGCTCTTGCTATCTCTGTCTCTGTCAAATAAATAAATAAAATCTTAAAAAATAAAATAAAATAAAATGGAACATAGAAAGTTTCCAAATTGTGCACACCATATTATTTTCAAGCTTTTAAATACTCAAGTTTTTCTCTTTTCTCCTCCCAGACTCTGGTTCCTCTGGTCATAAAAATTAGGCAAGTAGAGAGCCCGTACACCCTCCAGCATGGGACATACAGACAGGTCCATACACATACAACGCACACACCCAAACACCAAGACCACACACACACATCCCCCAAGATTTGTTCACAGAATAACCCCCATTAACCCGCCTGTCCCCTCCCCATACCACTGTGACATATGTACACAAATACTGAAGGCCAAAGTGTTGGGGAAAGTAGCAGCCATCAGCAAATCTTTGATCCGGGTAGGACTCTGCTGAGCAGAGGCAACACCCACGAGGGAAAAGGCCGGGGGAGAAGCAAGGTCCGCAGAGGTTTGGGAAGTTTCCTTCCCACCTGCTCACAGAAAGTCCCATCGAGCGAGCCCCCCCACCCCCCCACCCCCCGGCCCCGGTCATTGTGACATCACTAAAGGAGGGCGCCCCGCCTGGAGGGTCTAGGCGTTGCTTTGTCTCGTTCGCTGAAGTCACAAGGATTTTCGCGCTTTTAGAGAATCTGCGGGTCCGCAACGTCAAAAAGGACAATGAAACCGATTGGTTTGGCCGAGGCGGGCTTCAAGCCCCGTCCCCCAAGGTTTGCAGAAACCCCAAATGAGATCGCTCTCAAAGTCGGGGGTGGGAAGGGATTCCGCGAGCTCAGTGAGCTCAATCCGGCTCCGCGGCCTGCGCTGGTTCCCTTTCATGGCGAAAGCCGAGGGGGCGGGGGCGGGAACGGGGGAGCCCTCCCGAGCGGTGAGATGCCCGGATTTGGGAAGTCGCGCCCCTCCACCAGGGTCAATCTCCGCGGGGACAGCCGGTGGGATCGTCCGGGGCGCTCTTCTAATAACCTGTTGGGTTTTCCGCAGAATGGGCGGAACCACGCGGCTCTGGAAGTACCGGCGGGCGTGGTGGTCCTGCTGGGCGTTGTAGGGCGGAATCGCCGACCAGAGCTTGGGCCTCAGGAGCTCAGAGGCGCGGGCCTTGGTGCTCACCGCCACGCCGTCCAAGACGAAGCTCTTCTCCAGCCGCAGAGGACACTCGCACAAGTGCGACATCCCAACCACTGCAGCCTCCCAGGGCCCTTCTGGTGGGAGTGGAGGGCCCTAGCTAGGCAGGGGCTCCCCTGCGCGTTGGTCGCATTGTTACGTGGTGCGGTGTCAGACTCCCGTGACACACAGACCGTCCCGTCCCACCCGACAGGGTAGGCTCTCAGGGCTGCGCGGCCGAGTTACTCGCAAGGCCCTGAGGCGAAGGGGGACTAAGAGCAGACCATGCAGGAGGCACTGGATTTTGGAGAGGGTATTACTGAACTCTGGTGGTGCGAACGCAGGCCCACTCCTCCTCCTCCCCCCTCCCCACCTTACTGCATACATTTACCAAACTCAGTTCCGGGGAAGAGCTCGTACCCAGAATGGGTCAGAAAGAGTTCAGATACCACCTACTTCCAACTCTCATTTTTCGTAATTCTAAATTGAAGCTCAGAAACATTGCGATATTCCCTAAATCCATTTAGTGGCAGATCCAGAACCAGGATTCGGGTCTCGGGACTTCCACTAAGTCCACTTAAAGCACTTCTCCCCATCTAATTATTTTCATCAGCCGGTACTCCTCTTCCTCCTGTTTAAAACTTTTTTAAAAACCAGGAGAGCCCAAATGGGGCTCCCTGCCCAGGGAAAGTCTGCTTCTCCCTCTGCCCCTCCTACAGCCTGTGCTCTAATAAATAAAATCTTTTAAATCTTTTAAAAAACCCAGCAGGTTAACACATTACCCTATTTTTTCCTCTAATTTTGTGGATGTGACAGGATACAGCAAATCATGAACGAGTTCCTCTAGTTGCCGTGATTGCAGGCAACTTTTTATTTCCAAAATTTCCCCCTTGAATAATAAACCCTTACATAGATGCTTTACACAGCAAGGTGCCTTACTCAGTGCCCCTCACACCACCTCTACAAGGTGCTATTATCCTAACACGAGACAGAACATGAGACAAAAGGATCAGGGAAATCTTTTATATTCACTATTCTATGAAGGCACATTATTTTTTTAAGATTTGAGAGACTGTGAGAGAAGTGCGGCATCAGAGGGGAGAGGGAGCAGACTCTGGGCGAACAGAGCGGGGCTCGATCCCAGGACCCTGAGATCATAACCTGGACAACTGAGCCACCCGGATGCCCCAAAGACACATGTACTCCCATCTATACACAAACCCCACTAATCCTAGCAACTTAATGCTCAGCATACTTCATGTTTCTATACTATGACCGGTAAATTCCCAGAAATCTGAAATTACAGGAAGTCTATAGTTTGAGTCCATTCTATTAGAATTTGGAAAGAACCTGGAAGACAGAAAAGGCAGGGAAGGAGGCCCAGCCCTCACACCTCTTATTTGAAGCAGGAAGGTGAGACATTTCATACAGAGCTCACACAAGGGGATAAAAAGCATTAATTTTATTAATTTTTTAGATTATTGAGAGCAAGCAAGCACAAGCGTTGGGGGGGCGGGGGGAGCCTGATGCTGGGCTCGACCCAGGGCCCTGGGATCATGATCTGAGCTTAAGGCAGACACTTAACCCACTGAACCACCCACGTACCCCAGAAGAATTTTAAATGGAGGACCTGGGGACTTCACATCACATCAAAGACTTCAAATTCACCAGGGTGGAGGATAGGGTAGGAAGACCGGTCTGTTTTAAGACTTCTGGATTTAATATTCCTAAAACCAAGATAGGCTCAGTCTAGACAGCCCTGGTTCTCAATCTTGGCTGCAACTTGGAATCTCCTGGGGATCTTCAAAAAGTACTGACGCCTGGGTCCTACCTCCACAATGACTTAATTAGGTCTGGGACATTGCCTGGACACGTTTCTTAACTCCTCTGGTTGAGAACCACTGATTAGGTCTAATACATTCCATTCTGGATCTTGGTAGGACAAAAGGGTAGTCATCTTACCAAGTGAGTATGTGCTAGGGTCTAGGCATACTCTAATCTTCGGCCTTACAAAGAACACCTAAGGCTGAGTATTTTCAGATACTAGATGTGTGAACACAAATTTTGGTCTAAAAAGCCTATTCCAACATCCAACATCTTTAGGCCAGACTATTGACCCAAACCTGCTGAATGCTCATTTTTCCCCCTCAGGCCCCAAATGTCACATAAAGGGCTTAGGAAGAAAAGCACAATGTCCGATGCTTTCAAGCAGAATTTGCCAAGGTTTACGCCCACTGTTGGTTAATTACATCACCTTTTATTCATGAATTAGGGTTTGGCAGGTACATTATACAGCTATCCTGTCAAAACGTTTTGATAGCAAAAACAATGCAGGTACTTTTAGTAACTTATCTTCCACAAGAGCAAATTTACATGGCAACTGTGTGTTAGGTTTTACAAATACAGTCCTTTAGGTGCTGGTTTACCCAAAGAAAACCTGTAACTGCAAGTGTGCACATATACACACACCTGGTCCTCCCTCACATCACTCTGTGAACTCCGTGTGTGTCCACCATCTGACCACTCACTCCACCTTATCTCAAATTAAGCACACTGCAGATACTTGGGGTAACCTCTCATCAAACAAACACTATCTACTATCTGCAATTTACTTTTGTAAGGACTCCAAACACAAGTAAGTTTTTACAGCAGAAATCGGGAAGTCTGAAAGTTTCGTAGAGTCACCAAGCACAAGTACTGCATTGAGCAATTTCATTTTACAAAAGGTTAGGGGGCATCAAGAAGAGTGACAGAACAAGAAGGCAAACACTGAGAGCAAATAATTTTTAATTAACAAATACACCAAAGAATCATGCAATGCTGCCAGCATTGGATGCAATCCTAGGCCACAAGTCTGCACACTCCTTTGCGACTGGTCCTGTGATAGCAGAACCTACATAAAAAAAAGAATGAGATGACAGATAAGATCGGACAGGTCCAGAGATTAAATCATCCCATCTCAAAGACCTAGGCATCACTGTGCTTTCTTTCTTACCTTTCATTTCACCTTTGTTGTTTACTATGACCCCCGCATTATCTTCAAAATAGAGAAACACACCATCTTTTCTCCGGTATGACTTTCGTTGTCGAATTACCACTGCTGGATGCACTAAGAGGGAAAACAGGACAGCAGTCACTTACCTGTCAAGTAAGTGACACCACAAGAAAGCAGTTTACATCTCATCCAGTTCCCCAACATTTCCCACTTGAACAGAATGTAGACTCACCGTTTGCTTTTTATTTCCTAAAAGCAAGTGTGAAAGAGCAAATACCAATTGCCCCTTAAGGAAAGACCTTCCTCCAAGTGTAAATCTATACTCTTTTTAGAACAATTAGCAACACACTAGTAGCAGGAAACTTGCCAAGCACCTTCTATACTTGTTCCCATTTCACCCAACAGGTGGATACTGTTAAGATCCTAGTACCACAGGGGGCGCCTGGGTGGCTCAGTTGTTACGCGTCTGCCTTCGGCTCAGGTCATGATCCCAGGGTCCTGGAATCAAGCCCCGTATCAGGCTCCCTGCTCAGCTGGAAGCCTGTTTCTCCCTCTCCCACTCCCCCTGCTTGTGTTCCATCTCTCGCTGTCTCTATGTCAAATAAATAAATAAAATCTTAAAAAAAAAAAAAAAAAAGATCCTAGTACCACAAAATGGGAACCCCTTTGGGCCTGCGTAAGTAGAGGCCAAGCTATTAACTCATTAGGCAATATTCCATCCCAGTATATATCAAAACCTCCAAGAAAGTACATACCTCGATCTAAAAATTACTGTTTTTGAAAGTTTGTTGGGATTAAATATGTACCATCTTAGATTTTAAGAAGAGAAGCTCATTTACACACAAAATTTTTTTTTAAGATTTTATTTATTTATTTGACGGAGAGATAGAAGAGCACAAGCAGAGGGAATGGCAGAGGGAGAGGGAGAAGCAAGCTCTGCACTGAGCAGGGAACCCCATGTGGGACTCGATCCCAGGAACCTGAGATCATGACCTGAGCCGAAGGCAGACGCTTAACCATCTGAGCCACCCAGGCGCCCATTTACACACAAATTTAACCAAAGAAAACTACAACTAAAGATGCACATATACGTATACACACTCCTTGAGCCCCAGGAGTACATCCCAGGATCTTGACCACGCACTCTACACCTTATCTCAAATGCCCAACTGCAGGCACATGCGTTATTAGAGCAAAAACTTGGAATTAACCTATCTCATGGCAAATACACAAAAACAGAATTATTTAAAAATGATTATGTCCATCTCTAACTTTTCACATGTAGGACAACAATCATTTACGAAGCAAAAAGAATGAGTTATGGGAAGGCCATGGTCCCATTTAAAAAGTAAAGTTTAGGGACGCCTGGGTGGCTCAGTTGGTTGAGCGACTGCCTTCGGCTCAGGTCATGATCCTGGAGTCCCGGGATCGAGTCCCACATCGGGCTCCCTGCTTGGCGGAGAGTCTGCTTCTCCCTCTGACCTCCCCCCTCTCATGCTCTCTATCTCATTCTCTCTCAAAAAAAAAAAAAAAAAAAAAAAAAAGTAAAGTTTACAAGCTAATTTTTTGCACATTAAGGCAAAAAGAAAAGACAGGGCACCTGGGTGACTCAGTTGCTTAAGTATCTGCCTTTGACTCAGGTCATGATCTTCGGGTCCCGGGATCAAGCCCTGCATCGGGCTCCCTGCTCAGCTGGGAGTCTGCATCTCCCTCTACCCCTTCCCTCCCACTTGTGTGCTCGCCCTCTCTCAAATAAATAAGATAAAATCTTTAAAAAAAAAAGGCAACAAAATATTAACTGCGATCATCTCTTGGAAATCTGAAAGTAGGGTAATTGAAATTTAATTTCTGAAGCACCTGGGTGGCTCAGTTGTTAAGCATCTGCCTTCGGCTCAGGTCATGGTCCCGGGGTCCTGGGATCCCTGCTCAGCGGGAAGCCTGCTTCTCCCTCTCCCACTCCCCCTGCTTGTGCTCCCTATTGCTGTCTCTCTCCGTCAAAAAAAATCTTAAAACAAAAACAAAGACCCGGAGATCAAGAGTCACATGCTCTACTGACTGAGCCAGCCAGGCGCCC